AGGTTGGATTTGGGCTCAAAAAAAATGGACAGGTACTCAATAATTACCTACCATAACACTATGTTCAACCCTGGAGATTAAAAACAAAAGTGAAAATCTCTTCCTTGGGAAGCTTACATTCTCCTAGAGAAGTAAGCATGCATACTATATATGTAAGTGTAGTCTATGACATTCGACATGACCACCCACGTTCTCTGGGCTTGTACCAGTCCATCTGGGGCTTCCAGAGATGGACTGCCACTGAACAGATACACCTCAGACTCTCTAAGGGTCCTAGGAATAACCTATGATGAGGGATAAACTCCTAATCTTTGTCACAATAGCCTTTGAGCGCTCTCTAGTATTCTTCACATTTATGTAAAAGCAGTTACCATGAGCACCATTAGCTCTTAAATATAAACCATTTACTTGATGATAAAGGAAAAGAAAGCGTGATTATGCCATCGTGGTCATTTAATATAAACCCAGGAGGCAGGGAGACCATTTAGAATGAATGCTATTGCAGTAATCCAGGACAGAGGTGATGAAGCCTAGACTAGGGTTACATTTATGTTAGTGTAGAGATCTCCTGAAGCTAGAAATAACAAGATTTGACAAAGGATTGGATATGTGGAGTCAAGGATGACAACAAAGTTGTGAACCTAGACACTGGAAGGATGATAAATAGCAAAGGAGGATTGGGGGAGGAGATATTGGATTTAATTTTTGATGAGTTTGAGATGCCTACAGAATAGCCAATTTGGGATAATCAAATTGTAACCAGCGATTTGAATCTAGAACTCAGGAGAGAGATTAGGGTTAAACTTCTTAGGAGCTCATGAATTCACCAAGCAAGGTGGAATAGAGAGAGTAGAAAAGATTAAGCTTCCTCCAAGTTGCCTACATGAGTCCTTCTCAGAGTCTCCCTGTTACTAACACATTCTTAGTATTTTTTTTTTTTAGTATAAACTTTGTTTTTCTTATCTATGTAACATATTTCCCTCCAAAAGAATGTGAATTCCCTGAGGTCACCGTGATTTCACTATAGATCCCCAGGTCTGAGCACCATACCTGACACAAGATAGATATTTAATACATATTTGTTAAAGTGTATTAAATGACTGCAGTGAGACAGAAAGAAGCAAAATAAAAGATCCCACAGTGGAATTTGACAGAAGGGTTTATGTAGAAATACTTGGGTTTTTTGTGACCTCCAGGTAGCAAGATAAGGCTAAAGAGCCTGTTGACTTTGGGAGTCACTAAGACTTTCAATACCTCAGCCTTCTTGAGACCTCAGATTACCTCCAGAAACCCTGTTGTGCCTGTAAAATAAAACTATTGGCTCTTACAGTCTTAATCACTTGGAATTCTTTTCCTTTCCTGTTCTTTCTTACCTCTCCCCGCCTCAGCCCAACATTCATATCCACTTTTAGGTGGCTTTACCAGGTCTTCCATTGGAGGAGGGCACCCAGATCATTCTGGAAACTTCAGTCTCCCCCCAGGCTGCAATCTGTACTTCTCCATCATTTCCCTCATTCCTTCTCGCCCCCAACATTGTCCCAGCTTTTTTTGTTCGTGTAACAAAAGCTTCTTGGTACTGTGGATAAAGTTAGAAGGGGCCTTAGATGCCATTGAGTCTAACTCCTTTATTTTATTTTATTTTATGTTATTGTTAAAAGAACAAATGAGTTTTTTCTCTTTTCTCCCCATTCTACAATTCCATTAGAAAAACAACAAAAAATTCCTTGTAACAAATAATCATAGTCAGACAAAAGAAATTCCCTCATTAACCATGTCCAAAAACTCCATGTCTCATTCTTCATCCTGAATACATATCTGTCAGGAGGTGGATAACATGCTTCATCATTGGTCCTTTGGAATCATGAAGGTGATTGCCTTGACCAGAGTTCTAAAGTCTAAAATCTATAGTATGTAAGTGTGTAGGGCAAAATTTAAGCCTAGGTCTTCTTGACACTAAATCTGTTGTACTAACCATTATACCACTCTGCCTTTAGCATCTTCCAGCGATATAGAGCTCAAGGCAAGTATCACAAACTAGTCTACGTTACAATATATACAATACATCATAGATTATATATAAAATTTTCTGACCATTTTTAAACATACTTTTTTTCTCTTTTTTTGGCCACATGTGTCCTGCTCAAATGCAAAGGCTCACTGAAGCCCTTTAGAAGAAAGTACTGTTTCAATACATAAGATAGTAAGGTGGCTTATAGTAAGGTCAAATTACCTCTGACTTGAGCTAAGCAAAACAAGGAGTGAAAGAAATATAATGATTTTCTTTTGTTAACTGAGAAACATAGCAGGACTCCTTCCTACTTGGCTAGGTTCTGTTTCAAATCTAGACAAAACTAAATATTAAATGGTGATATAAATTTGGATAGGGCCTGCCTGCAGATGCAGACAGGCTCACTTTTCAGTGCATTGCCAGCTTCCTTTTGCCTATTTGTAGATCTTTTCTGTCTCTCTTTAGTTCTAACTAAAAGTGCATACAATATTGATGACAGTTTTATAGGCTCATGTGTTTCTCATTTTTTGAGCAAGAGATGCTTCATCTTTTTTTTTTTCCTTTTTTTCTTTGGTTTCATCGTATTTTGTATTTGTTGAAGTTTGTGGCTTTTTTAGGGGTACAATAACTGTGCTTCTTGAAATTAAGTTTTCTTTCTTAAATAATTGACCCCCAACCCAAATAGCTTTGAATGTGTCAATGTGAGACTTCAGCAAAACCTTAGGAAACAGTCCTTGATATAGCTGTTACTGCCTTACATTGCCAGGGGGCAGTATTTACTAAGCTGATCTTTCAGCAGACTAGTGCAGAGCTACATAAATTTAAGTGGGCCATCCTTAAAGCTGTGAACTGGAGAAAATAATTAAAACACATATGAATCCTCCTAATTGGTCTTGAGTTTTTGTGTTGAAATGAGGAAATGACCAGTAATGGCAGATATTTTCCATATGAGTATAATGCATTTGACGTGTTTTCATATTAATAATACAGGTCTTATTTCTTTGACAATTGCATTTCGGGTACCTGTTTATTGCAAATGATTAGGAAGTTACACAAATCTCCTGGTGAGCAGCATGTTGCCAATGGGTCTGGGAAATATTTGGGGTATGATGTGCAAATCTCTCTCCCACTGTCTATCATCCATCTCTCTCTCTCTCTCTCTCTGTCTCTGTCTCTGTCTCTCTCTCTCTCTCTCTCTCTCTCTCTCTCTCTCCCTCCCCCCTCCTCCCTCTCTACTTTCCTCCCTCCCTCATTTCCTCTCTTCCTCTCTATCATCTCCCTCTCTCCCACTCTCTGTCATTTCTCTTCTCTCTCTCCCTCTCTCCTCCCATCTCTCTCATCTATCTTTCTTATGCAAGCACACAGACACATGTGCGTACCATGACAGCAGGGGGATGATACCATTCCCAAGGTACCACTGAAAGATGAGTGCTATCTATTGTCTGTTGCCACCCTTATTCTTCAGCTGCTTGCATTTTACAACACTACTTTGAACTAAAAGAAATTGAATCCAATTTCAAGAACATATCCATTATAATCAGCAAGTGAACTTTTTTCAGCTGTCATTTGGTATACTATAAGAACAATAAAATAGGCTTTTTAAATACATACAGAAAGACACAACATTCCATGTCAGTTTTTTTTAAACAATTGCCAGTCAATATATATTGTTTTGTTTTTAAAGAAATCAACCAAAGAATGTTGACTTTTTTTATTATTAAGATTCTTTATAAATAAATGTTTGAGTCAGATTTATGATTTTCTGGTGTCTCTTCATAGAAAGAAAGACACCTTGGCCTAACGGGTGAGAGATGGAATTGGAGCCAGGAGCACCTGGTTTAATCCAGCCTTTGACACATACTGACTTTGTGACCTTTGGCCAGTCATTTAATAAGCTTCAGGAAACTAATGCTATAAGTTATAGAGATGGTGCCAATCTACACTGGTAAAAGGGAGTTTCTTCATTAAGATTTCTCTTTATCAAAGCAGTCATAGGTCCTGTACCCATCCCTATCCCTACTCTGGTTGACATGAATATTTGGATATATTTAATAAATGTACCCCAATATAATTTATTTTTGATCTTGAGTCATATGTTTAAGGACCCATTGGCAAGGTAGATCATTTAGGAATCTCTCTCCTACACAAAGAATTGAATGTATGTTTCACATGTGCCCTGATCTGACATACTTAGCAAAGCAAGCAACTAATTAAGCCCAGTGCAAGAATATTCTATTCCTGGATCCTTACCCTTTTTAGAGTCTGTTATGAAAATTCCTGTTAACTGAGCAAATGGCTACAGACGTCATAATGCTTTGTATTTATATAACACCTTTTTGTGGAGAGCTTGGAGTGCTTTTCAAAGATCGTCATTTCATCAGGTCTCACAATTACTCGGTAAGGTATCATAAAACTGATGAAGATCTTTAAAATGTCAAGAATACTTTTACATACTCTGAAAAAACATACTCTTCAAATGAACATGCTACATTTGCTCTTAGTACTCCTCAGAATCGTTGCTCCAACATCTCAAGAAACTGATGCATTTTTAGTTCACATTCTCTATGAATTGTCCCCCAAAACTTATCCAAGGCCTTTCTAATAAAGCATCGGTGGTCTAAGAGGCATCTTGGCTCAGTGGATAGGGAGCCAGCCTCAAAGTTAGGAAGACGTGTTCAGGTACTGCCATTTTGGTCACTCTGGGCGAATCACTTTACCTTAGTGCCCTGGATAACTCTCAGAATATTAAGTTGCAGTCTCCGATCTGCATTAATAGAAGATGTTTTATCACTTACTGGAATAAGAAATTCCATATTCCAAATACATAACAAGTCCAGATCAGGGAGAGAGAAAAAAAGACATAATTACAGTCATCTATAGTCTATTTGGTTTTGAATAGAATAAAGATACTTTTTAATAAATAGCAGACAGTCATGCTAATTAAATATTGCCACAATAAACACTTATCCTCTCCTTTCCCTCTTTTTTATAGCTCTATGCCATTCCTTGGTTCCTCACCATGTTCACCCGTAAGTATGTTTTTTTTTCCTTTGTTTGTTGATATTTTCTCAGTATTATTTAGGATCTGTACAGCTCCTAGATTATTCACATTTTTTAGTTAAAACAAATATAGTGTCAATAGCATCTGAATAGCACTCTAACTTAATAGATTTTTATTAAAAGTATTTTTTGTTCAGTCATTTTTCAGTTATGTCTGACTCTTCATGACCCCATTTAGAATTTTCTTGGCAGAAATACTGGAGTGGTTTGCCATTTTTTTCTCCTTATAGATGAGGAAACTGAGGCAAACAGGGTTAAGTGACTTGCCCAAGGTCACACAACTAGAAAGTGTCTGAGGCAGAATTTGAACTCAGAAAGAAGAGTTCAGGCCCATAGTGCCACCTAGCGGCTGAAAGTCTATAAATATATGAAAAATGAAAGTGTGTAAATTACCTTTAGTTCTTAAGGATCCCAGTGTGATAACCTACACATTTGTGGATTCTCATTTTCTAGTAGCCCTTTGATCATTCGTCCTAGAGATAGGGTAAGGTGGTGTGAACTCCACAGACTACAGCTCAAACAATCATACTGTGTAAATTTGATGAAAGACCTGTGAAAGTTTGCCAAGATAGCCTGCAGTTCATGTCACTGTGACCCTATTAAAAAAAAAAACAAAAAACACTGTATAGTTTTCAAATGTAATATCCCATTAGGGTTATGGAGGGTTGCTTAGGGACCAATTTTTCACTGCCAGACTCATTCTTTATTTGTAGAGATTCTGTAGCAACTGAAACTTTCCTCATTTTCCCCAGAAATGAAACAGATGAGATTTAACTCCTTCAGTATAAGAAGATAGAAGTCCTCATTTTGGAAAGGGCTGCTTTACAATTCACACAAACATTTGAAGCCACAGTTCACTCCAACAAGCATTTGTTAAGCCCCGACTGTGTACAAGCCACTGTGTTAGGTCCTAGGGATACAAAGGCAAAATGAGAAACATTCCTTATCCTCAGGTAACTCTACTGAAAGGTTCAACTGGTAAACAGATAAATGCCTTTGTTGTTGAATTGGCATATTGTTGTTATTGTTCAGTCATTTCAGCCGTATCCAACTCTTCATGACCCTATTCGGGTTTTTCTTGGCAAAGATACTGGAGTGGTTTGCCATTTCCTTCTCCAGATCATTTTACAGTTGAGGAAACTAAGACAAATAGGGTTAAGTGACTTGCCCAGGATCACACAGCTAGTAAGTGTCTGAAGCTGGATTTGAACTCATAAAGAGGAGTCTTCCTGATTCCAGGTCCAGTGCTCTATCCACTGTACCACATAACTGCCCAGATAAATATATTTATACATGCTCATTTGAGAAATTAGAGGTATCAAAAACTAGGGAGACTGGACAAGGCTTCTTATAAGAGGTGGCTCATGTGCTAAAGATGCTGAGAATTAGAGGCCAGGAGAGAATGCCTTCCAGGCATGGCGGAGACCCTAGACAAGCTCCAGAGACAGGAGATGGAGTACTCTTTGGGAAAGTAGCCAGTAGCTCCATTTGGAAGAAACGTAACACGCGTGAAGGCTGGTAATGTGCAATACAGCTGGAAAGATATGATTGGTCCAGAATATGAAGAACTTCATGTGCTAAGCTGAGGAATTTGAATTTGATCCTAGAGTCCCTGGAAATCTGGAGTCCAACTGGGAGGCCGCCATTTGTTTTTGAGGTTTCCTGTGAAAACTAAAGCGTGGTCACCATATGTATGGCCATTCCCCCACCTTCTCTAGTTCAGTGCCTCTTCCCGCCATCATGATGCTCTTCAGTAACAAATTATGCTCAGATGGTCGGTCACACTGGAACTGTGATTTCAACTATCCAAAAAACAGAGAACCTTGTATCAAGGGCATAGAGAAAAAGCATGAGCACTTCTAGCTTCCTGAAATCAGTCAGTCACCACGTATTTATTAAGCACATACTACGTGTCAGGCACTATACCAAGAGTTGAAGGAAGCCCCACCAGTCTCCTGAACATGGAAAAGAATCGCATTTATTCCTGGGCTGAGGAAGCCAATAAGGCAGAGGTCTGTAGATTCCCATCTCTCACCCTCGGAGAATAGAAACACTCTATTGCCTTATCAGTTATAGAAAACCCCTTAAACCAAAGAAGACATTTTGGTAGGTTCATCTGGAAAGTGGTTCTTTGCATAGGCAGTAGCCATGGGAGTCGATGCCATCTTTTCCCATGCCTCCACTCTGGCCCCAGTCCCCAAGAGGCAGATTAGATGACCAATTACTATCATTTCATTTTAACTTAAAAGCAGGTTGTCACCATTTCTCTCTCCCCTTTGGACTGTTCTTCAGAACGACCAGGTGCTTAGTCTTGACCCATGTACTTCACTATTAATGAAAATAAGCACATGAACATTGGATTTTAAAGTTGAAAGCCATCTTGGAAGTCATCTAAATCAACCATGTCATATTGCAGATAAAGAAAATGAAATCTGTGAAGGTTAAGGGACTTGCCCAGGTTCATAGCAGAGTTTTGATTGAAAACCAAGTTCCCTGATTATTACTTAAATTTGAGGCGGAAAGGACAGCCACATTGGGAATAGTTAAAACAGTGAGTTGTTGACTAAGGATTGGAAATATCGATACAAATACCAAGTTAATGTTCTGTAACAAATGTGCTTTTTGGTATCTGTCAAGCAATTTAAACAAGAGACATGAGTTTTGTAACAGCAGTAAAAGCTACACACAAACCTCAGGCAGCAAACATAAAGTTTGAGTTAAGCAAACAACCACTGGCTTTTGATGACCTTAAAATTCTTTGAGAAGTGTTAAGAAGCATGTTCTGGCCAAATTTTTTCTTGCTAAATAATACTCTACCAGCCTCTTAAATGTAAGTTGCAAAATCACTAAATACCAAAATGAACCTGACTTTCTAATCTAACTTTCCATCTGGAAGAGTTTTCCTTCTGTTTTATAGTGTAGTTGAGGTTCTGGGTGTAAGGTTCAAGACTTCAATATGGTCTGAGTTTCAATTCTTGAGAAGTTATTATTGGAGTGAGGAAAGACAGTAATGAGAATTGAGTCCTTCAGCAATGCAACAGTTGAAAAAAGGTTCTGATTTAAAATGCCCTGACAGTTTAATCAAAAGATATACATAGTTAAGTATAAGCATTTTGCTCTATACATCTAAAGGCAATATGATGCATCATTGTCCACAATTATTCCCATACTAATTCCAAGATGGTAAGTGAATATATGGTCGTGGGAACAAGTAATCCTGAAAAAATGTACATTTTGACAAAAGAATTATTAGGAATCAGGAGATGGCCCTGTGTCTTCATGCCTTAGATTAAATGGTAGAATATATCAATTTTCTCCATTAACTAATCAGAGCAAAGTTGTTTCAGTACACAATCTTTGAGAGATAAATGAACTTTGCTTAGAAAAACAAGTTCCATTGGCTTTTAGAAAGCATAAGTCAGAGAAGAGTATTTTGATCAACCAGAAATTTGCCTGCTCTTATTTTCACACTTCTGCAGAACATTGTCACACTCGAATACAGATTGAATAGAATAAGAACTCTATTAAAACTGACATTAGAGGTGAGAACATGTCATCAGTGGGAACATTTTGATGTTTAACAATTTTCAAATCACAGTTTTCCCTAGGGAGAAATAAATATTCTTTCAAAAATAAATGCCTCTGAAAACAGACATAGTATGTTGTTCATTCTCAAACTATAAGGAAATTATTGCATGATAATAGCTAATAATAAAAGCTTTAAAAAAAAACTTTAAGGATTTTAAAGTGCTTTACAAATACTACATCATTTTATTTTCACACCTGCCCTTGAAGGTAGATGCTATTCTTATCCTCATTTTACAGATGAGGAAACTGAGGCAGGCAAAGGTGAAGGGATTTTGGACAGCTAGTAAGTGTCTGAGACCTGATTTCAACTCAGGTCTTCCTGGTTCCAGGGAGTGCTCCACCTAGCTATCTCAGTGCCATTGTTGTTCTCTGTTATTTCAAAACTTAACTATTATTTATCACGTCATTGTTTTTTGTTCCTGTCATTTGGCAGACGTATTTCCACTACACAAGATTTTTCATCTTTGGGATACATTACTGCTTGGGAATTCTTCCTTCCCATTCTGCATTGGAGTGGCCATTCTCCAGCAGCTACGGGACCGGCTCTTAGCTAATGGCTTCAATGAGTGTATTCTACTCTTCTCTGACTTACCAGGTATGTGGAAATACATATATAAATGCACAGATGCGCAGATGCGTATATGGATAAGAGGTGACTGAAATGTAGGAAGCCATATGGCAAGACGAGTATATAACTTTATAGCTACATTTATATATGTACATGGGTGAAATGGAGAGTTTATATACACATGTCCTTTTGGACCTTTTTCTTAACATGTGACAGTATTTATGAATGATTAGCTAAAGTATTTATTAATTGTGGTCTAAAAAAGACTGGCACATCCTAACATGTCCTTCCAAAGTATATGAAAAAATTGTGATCTTAAGTTCATTTGTAACTTGGTTGTTTAGAATTTAAAATTGTTCTATAAAAATGGTAGTTGGGGAGTTAGACTAGCTTGCAAAAGCCTAGTTAACACATAACTTTGCTCAAATATCCAAATGGATCTGTGATATCATTGATTTGGGTGATTTATTGATTGATTCCTTCCAGTGTTGCAGATCGTAACTCCACCCATGCCTGTCCATCTTGTGTGATTCTTATTCATGTGTTCTCTTAAGTTTGCCACAGGGATTCACCCAGCCATGTAGGCCTTCCTCACTGTCTTTGATATAGCGAGGGTTTGAGGAGAGCACCCATAATCTTTTGCCCTCACCATGTGATCTTCAGCTTCTTCTCCTTGATTATATATTGCACTCTTCTCATTTCTGCTATCACCAATCATAATGATATCCATTTTTAATTTTATGGAGACTCTTGTAACCATGACCTGCTGCCCCACAGCAACACTTGTAGAATGTTGGTATTTTTTTTAAGAAATGGATCGTTGTGGTGGCAGCCAGGTGGTACAGTGAATAGAGCACCAGCCCTGGAGTCAGGAGGACCTGAGTTCAAAGCTGGCCTCAGACACTTGATACTTACTAGCTTTGTGACCCTGGGCAAGTCACTTAACCCCATTGCCTAGCCAAAAAAAAAAAAGAAGAAGAAAAAGAAGTGGATCTTTGTTTCCATGGGAATCTTGGGCTCTACAAAAAGCTTTGCAATTTCCTGAAGACAATGTGCTTCTTCTATTCAATTCCAGACCCAACTAGTGGTCCATCTGTGCTATTTGTCTCAAACAAATGTACTGATGGACAAGTGCATGTTATAATCTGGGCTATGGGAGTTCTTTGTTCATTTGGTCTTTGCTGTGTAAATGGTCAGGCAACAATACTCTGAGTGGTCACAGATATCTTCCTAGACACTCTACAGCATTCTAGAGCTTGACACAACCAGCACGATGTCATCTGCAATTGGGGTCATTGTTGGACCTCAGTATCCACAGAGAATCCCTCTTTGATTTAGACTCTTCACTGAATGTCTTCCGTCCCAGCGGAGAACATGTTTGCAAGTCTCTATCTCCTTGTTTTATGCCTTGCCTTACATTTATAATCAGAGGGTCATTAAACAAGGTTATTTCTGTTGGTGTATCTTTCAGGAAATCTTGAATGATCTTGATGTATGGATAACATATCTTTTTGGAAAAGAGCCTTTACAGTAGCATCTTGCTATTCAAATCAAATGTTTGTTTATCTAGATTTTTTTTGGGTGGGGAGCTGTTTTATAGTTGACAGACAGTAAGCATATCTTTCAGTTAACTGTAAAAGATGTGATCCATTGCTAAACATTACTTACAAGACCCTACTTGTTTTCTACCAATACCCTCATTGAGGATTCATATGATTTTTGTATCGATAATTATCAAAAAGATTTGGTAGATGTGGGGCAGCAGATAAATTGGTGCATAGGTTACAAATGTTAATCCTGATTACCTTTTCAGTATTAATAAGGTTAGAAATATTTTCCATACCTTTGGTATCTTCTCATCTTTCAGACACCATGTCTCTCGACACACTCACAGTAGTGTTGATAGATGGATGACAGAAGCCTTGTTGGAAAAGATCCTTTATAGTGGTTTTACTCTGCTAGATCAAGTATCTATCTATCTGTTTGTTTATTTGTTTTTTGGGAGGTTGTCATCTTACAATTGACAAACAGTTCTTTTCTGAATACACTTGGTACAGTCTGGTGACTTTTTCCGTCTGCCTCTCCTCTAAGCATATCTGGTATTGTGCTGAAATAGCTGAAATATTATACCCTTGAAATGAAAATTAGTATAAAACAATACTCTGTTAATATAACAGTACTAAATAGTGATATGCATCAATACTTTAATTGTAATTACTCTTCACCCCTAAGCAGCTCCTGAGAATTGGAACCTAGCATTCCTAACCAGACCATTCTTTCCCTGGCATTAATTCATGCTAAAGTATAAATGATTTCTCTAAAATCATCCCTTTCATCATTTCTTATGTCACACTAGTATTGTTCCTTTATATTCATATGCCAAAATTTGTTCAGATATTCCCCAATTTACCATCCATTAATTACCATCCCAAAAGAACAGAATCATGTCAATCTTGATACCTTTACTGCAAATAAAACCAGAAAAAAAAAGGGACATTGAAGCTAAATGGAAGATACTACAAAGTTTTCCCTCAAAGTCAAATAAAGGAATTGGCAGGATTGGTTTTAACATACATCCAGAGGCATCAAGTAAGTTCATGTCCTGTGACATTTGGTCATCTTATGTTGCAGTATTAATGATAAACATTTTCAAAAAACCACTTAGAAGATACTTACAGCACAGACATTGCAGAGAATGAGGACTTAGAGAAATGCAATGAAGAATTTGATAAGACCCTCCAAATTAAAAGAATATACACTTTAATATTTGGTCACTTGAACTAGAAGCTGGGCATGAGGAGCATGATGAAAAATATTTTTGAAAACATGGTTAAGAAAAATGAAATGGGAATTTTAGACTAAACACGCTTCACATCTATGTATTGTGGATACTGTGAGAAGAGGGGTCCAGAGGCCCTGGATAATCTGAATCTCATTTCACACACACACACACACACACACACACACACACACACTCACACAAGGAAATTGATTCTATTTTAAGAAACAGGAAATGACTCATTAACACTGTGAGAGCTGTTTTAAGAAAAGTTGAAGAAGGATTAAAAATGAGAATAACTGGAATGCATCTGAAATTGTTCCAAACTCACTTATTGAAATAATCCTTTTACTTCAGAAAATGAAAAAGAAATGGCAAAAGAGTGACATTAACATATAGTATCACCATTTCCTAAGGAAGATTAAGCTACATAAATCAGTGGCCATGATGAAGAGATCAAAAAAGCCTAGAGTCCCCCTTAGCCGGACAGCATTGGATCTCCTTGCCAAGTAGTGGGTTATGGCAGCCAGGGACAATTCTGGGTTCAGAATAGAACCATGTTTGTAAGTGAGCAATATCATCTCATAAGAAACTGGGAAACAGTGGAAGGAAAAGACAAGGTCACAAAAAGCTTGGTAAGAATCACAGCATCATAGATACAGAGCTAGAAAGGACCTTAGAAGACATCAGGTCCAACCACTTCATTTTACAAATGAGGAAACTGATTCACAGGAGAGTTAAATGACTTGTCCAGGGTCACACAGCTAGTAAGTATATGATGTGGGATCTGAGCCCAAGTCTTCTGTCTCCAAGTGCAGTGGCCTAATCTACCATTCTGTGTTACCTCCCATGTAGAAATCCTCTGGATTATCGACCCAATATTGAAGGGCACTTGTGGACAAAACTGGAAGATGGACAATAAACAAATGCAAAATGAGGGGAGGTAAATTTCTCCATCACTGGTAATGAAGTTAATCACATTTTGGATCTTAACATAATGGTGGCTGGTGTACTGTATGAGGGAGTAGAGATGATGCTGAAGAAAACAAAGATGGGGAGATTATCTGGGCTAGATCAGAGGAGATCTATGCTGAAGGTGGCACGACTTGGGAAGCGCTGAGGGATCAGTTCAATTCTCAAGATGTCTGAAAGAGGAAAGGATACTAACACTTAGGAAAAGTCACTTAGTACCTAATTATTATCCAGGAATAAAAGTGGAGAAAATGTTAGTATTTTACCGAACCATATGCCACCTTTCCTATTGATAAAAATCTGTATGAAAATAATCCACATATGTATAAAGGGCATCCTTGGTGAAACTATGACAAATGGGCGAGCTCTTGCAAAAGATATTCTACAGCACATCATTACAGCTACACAACTGATAGAAAAGTGTAAGTAGTAGACAATTTCCCTGTGCTTCTTTGTTTTTTAACCGTTTTTTAAAAATTTGTTCAATATAGCAATATATATGGCACTATATATAATTCAGTATGCCGCCTTAAGGGTTTTCTTAAATCAAGGTGTCTCTTATGCAAATATCAGAATCACTCAGGAGTCCCTCAAAAATATGGCAACTGGAATAACTTTGTTCAGCTCTACAGTTATTAGTGTGAAAGGCAGCCTGACATAGTGGATTTAGAGGTAGCATCAAAGCCAGGAAGACACAGGTTCAAATCCCACCTCTGACGCATACTGTTTGTATGGCCTAGGCAAGTGCCTTTACCTCTCTGTGTTCAAGGCAACTCCTTGAGACTCCAAGTTAGAGAGAAGATGCTAACCTCAGTTGTTAAAGAGAACTTCTTTATCTCTGTCCTCTGCAGCAGTGAGTCATAGGTCCAGGCACTATCCCTGTGATTATTGATATCAAATGGGTCATAAAACAGGAAGACATGCTCACCTTTCAATTGTCAAGGAAGGTGGCCCCCAAAGTACAAGTCAAATGTCTTATAGTTGGTGAAGTCCTTCAGATACTCCTGTTTATGGATACCGTTGTGGTGTTTGGCATCAAGCCCTACAACAGCACAAAGTTATTTATTAAGCACCTACTATTTTCCAGGCCCTATGCTAAATGAGATACATGTTAACTCAAAGGAATTTGGCCCAACTCTCCACACAGGAAAAAAAAAAAAGATGTTGTTTCAGTTGTGTCCGACTCTTCATATCGCTATTTGGGGTTTTCTTGACAAAGATAGAGTGGTTTGCCATTTCCTTTTCCAGCTCATTTTACAGATGAGGAAACTGAGGC